GACAGCTGAAGCGGATCAGGCTTTTGACCATCTAAAGGCATGCATAGCAGAAGCCCCGACATGTCTACGGCTACCCAATCCTGGTGAGAGGTTCACTGTGGCTGTCGACGCAAGCAACGTGGCCATCGGTGCGGTTTTGTCTCAACCGGCTGGGGTTGTGGAGTACGCGAGCAGAGTGCTGACGGGGGCGGAACAGAAGTATTCAACAACGGAGAAAGAATGCTTGGCCATCGTGTGGGCGTTAGCGAAGTGGAGAAATTACTTACTGCCGAATGAATTCCGGGTCGTCACTGACCACAAACCGCTCTCGTGGTTGATGACGGCGAAAGACCCGCGGGACGGCTTGCGCGATGGGCCTACCGATTGCAGGAATTCAACTTCACCATTGAGCACGCGGATGGAACGCAAAATGTATTGCCAGATATGTTGTCACGCCCGTGTTTGGACGACATCATGCCAGACAATGCCATACCGGTGCGTGCGATCGCGATGGGGGAGAGGAACCTGCTGGGAGATCAAAGGACAGATGAATTCGTGAATGTGTTGTGCTCTCACTTACGGGCTGGCACCAAACCGGAGGCTACATCGGAGGAGGTGGAGGAACTCCTCAAGATCTGGGACAGGTTGAAGGTCGAAAACGATAACGTGGTGGTGGCGATAGACGGACGGAAAGTGCCTTTTGTTCCACCAAATCAGCGAGAACGTGTGATGCGCATGACTCATGATGGCGCCCATATGGGATTCGAGCGGATCTTTGAATTGCTGCGGAGGCGAGTGTTTTGGCCAACCATGAGGAAGGACGTCGCGGCATACCTTCGAGAGTGCCCGAACTGCCAAACGAGTCGGGAGATGGAGTCCCCGAGACCGCCGATGCGATCGATGGAGGTTGGTGAGCCACTACAGTGTTGGGGAATGGACGTCTTTGGGCCCTTACCAGTGAGTCGAACAGGAAACAGATACATTCTAGTGATGATTGACCACTTCACTCGATGGGTGGAAGCCATACCAATCAAGGACCAAACAGGCGAGACAGTGTCGCAAGTATTCGAATTCAATGTGCCTGCAAGGTATGGGATCCCACAGTGTATAATCACGGACCAAGGGCCCTGCTTCGAGTCAAGAGCGTTTAAGTCAGTGTTGGACAAGTGGGGCATCCAGAGACGGCGAACTTCACCGTACCACCCACAAACCAACAGGATGACCGAGCGGTTCAACCGGACATTGAAGACGTGGATAAACTGCACGAAGTTGGCATGGGAAGATGCTTTGCCTCAGGCTCTGATCGCGTATCGGACCAGCATGCAACCAACCACCAAGGTCGCGCCATTCGAATTACTGTTCGGCAGAGAACCACGGATTGCGCTCGATACTTGCCTACCGAACCAGGGTGAGTGGAAACATCCAGCTGAGCATCAAGAGCGACTGCGATGGAAAGCTAGAAGCGAAACCAAAACTCGACAAGCGCGGAATAGGCGAAATTACGACGCCAGGCATGAGGCTCACAAGTGGAGGCCATTCAGGATTGGAGAACGGGTCAAGTTATGGAACAACGATCGGCCGGATCATGACGGGCCGGGCGCAAGCAAGTTCAGAGAACGCTGGAAAGGCCCCTACACCATTATCGACCAGAAAGCGGGCAACTTCTTAATCAACTGCGGAGGAATGAAACGTTGGGTGAATGCTGCTCTCTTGCGACCATGGTACGAGAGGAAGAAAGGTCCTGGAGGAGGGGCGGGTGTAGAGGGGCCGCTTCCAAGAATGGCTCTGGGGAGCTCTTCGGAGCTAGCTGAGAGCGGATCGCGAAAGACGGCTAGCGACGAGCCTGGGCCCGGAACTACGGAGCGGGAATATGTGGACAGCGCAATAAATCAGACATATACGCCGCTAGCGCAGCCCACAGGACCGAGGCCAAGCCGATTGACACAGCCCAGAACAAGCAAGTCGAGAGCTCTCGAACGACTCCTGGCCGATCCAAATCGGGTACAGAGAAGTGGGGATCGAGGCGAAAACAGGAAGGCGGGAAATCCAAGTCAGAGCTCTCGAGGCGAAAGGACTGGCTCGCCTCTAACATCCGTACCTGTGTTGCGTGGTGGGATGGAAATCTAGTCGATATTCGATGGCGCGCGCGAGACCCTGATGTGCCCATCTTCGGTGGGCAATAAACGTCTACCCCCCTGTCTTGTCGTTCTCGCTACAATAAGAGTGACGTAATTACCACCAGAAAACGGTATCACGAATATCACACAACCGACGACCCAATAAAGTTGTCTTTTGGGTAGGACAGAGGTAACAGTCAACGGGCAACGTTGTCACCGATAAGTGCTGAATAAACTAATAATTTTTATTCACAACGAAGCGAGGCACGCCTTTACAGCCATGATCATGTTATGAGAACAAAGCATAATCAAACATATACAAAAAACGTGTTTGCTGTAACAGTGAATGTTTGTGTGAGGGAGTGTATGTCTATGTAATTGCGCATTATGTGGCTGCGTAGTTTGTGGCTTGTGTGTCGCTGCATCTTGACTGATAACGTCCGCAATGTGCGAAGAGATAACTGAAGTCCGTGAGTTGGATAGGATTATCCGGATATACATGTGGCAGTGCATTTAGTTTGTGGCTAGTCACGACTGCCACGTCGCAGTGTTGATAAATGGACATATGTGGCTAGGCGGAAATCCACCATGTCTTGGAACACTGCCCTGGAACTATTTGCTGAAACGGGTTAAATCCGATACACCCAGCCGGCACCATGAGATTGTTCGGATAGCCAACCTATCATTTGCCAATAGTAATGCATCGCGCAACCGTTCCACGGTAACACAACTGGCAAAATTGGGAGGCGGAAAAATGCGACGGACGCCAAGTTTTGTGGATTCATGTGGTCTCCACAACAAAACCAATGGTGCCACGACAATCCATAACAACCTGTCTGGTGATACTGCCTCCTCGCAGCTAAAAGCAAAATTTAAGGTAAAAGGTAAATCCGTCACTAACATATCACCAGGATGTTACACAAACGACGGTGCATAAGCTAGTCCAATGCACGGTAACGTTTCAATGATGCCACTACAAATGGCATCTTGCACTTGTCGGGAAAAGCAGTGACCAATTCCGGATGCTTTTCGGCCAACTCATTAGATGATTGTGGCAATATGGACTGTATAAACTACTACTCCAAAGGCTCAATGAAGGATTATTCGATGTTTCTCTGGTATTCTGAATTTCAACCTAAACTGTCTTTCATTATCATCATCAAATAATGCCAAGACAGAGGATGTTGCAAACTGCCGCTCGGCTCAATATAAATGATCGGATAAAATGTGCCCTATTGCTTCAGTTAAATAAGTAACCCCCGTAGGAACTTAATGATACTTGGGGGGGCACAAATGCATCACGGCCATTTTCCTGGTTTGATGGGGAATGGTGTGTGAGCATTCCTCTCATTCGCTGGTTTATGGGATCAAATGCCGTCACGAGTCAACCACAAATGGCTTCCTATGGATGATAGACCACGTGGCTACATTGGTACTGGGCAGAAAAATCATAGACGCACTACAAAAATATGAAAGTGGAATAAGGAAATCGATCTATGGGAAGAACCAAGCAGACTGGAGATAAAGGATTAGGCACTTAGACGTAGCAGGTTTATCTGGTGCTGGCCGGCATTCCGTCTAGAGGAATGCGGCCGCCAGTCACACCAAGACAAGGCCAGAGTGGCGAGGAACTCGGTGTTTTTACAAAGTGGGTTTCAGACGCCTAATTGCCGAAGATTCAGCGAACTGATGCAGGCGGGCGGCGCCCTGTCGGTTGATTATCCTAAATCACTCGTTACCGCAAGTACAGTGAAACAGGTAAACGCATGAGGCAGTAACTCGAGAGTCTGGCTTGTCCAGATTGGATTTAAATAGCGACATGCTAACTTTATGAAAACCAAAAGCTCAGCTACCTAATAACACTTTTTTATGAATTTACGGGGACGATACCAAAATCTCTTGAACTTTGACCGTTATCGATCCACCAACGACGTTGGTCGTTCAACAACTTGGCCATGTTGATTAGTCGACGAGTCGTGTGGTCGTATAACAAAGGATTTCGTTCTTTTTGGGTAAACAAGGTTTTTTTAATTCACATCAACGGCCAATTCTGTTTATAGGCGCAGTATAACATTTACCAAATGCAAACATGCGGTCCAGTCTGAGCACTCAAATAGCGGTCAACTTTATCAAATGAACTGATGAGGGAATCTGACTCACACGCCTAGCTGCACTAGTTTGGCTACAATTTGGAGGGGAGGACAGTAGAAAAAACCCAGATGGGCGTAGGCGAACCTGGCGATTTTGCCACAGCCAAAAATTGCGGTGGCGATCCGCAGCCTCTAGCCGTTCCACGTAACAAGGCTTACAGAGTACAGTGCCTAATTCAAATGAACCACTGGAATGAGAAGTATCAACACTTGATCGGCAGGAGTAAAAAGAACGTTTCCAGTTGCATTTGAAGACCGCGGGATAGGAAACGGTGTAATATTTTAAAACGAAAGTAACGGAAAAAATGCAATGAGTCGCCTCATGTCGAGGAGTAAAAGTAACAAACGAAAAGTACACGAACTGCTAATACGGTTGCGTGTGGAGATGCAGAGGAGAAAGGCAAAAGTTACTCAGCACTGTATGCCTCAAGAAGTCATGAGGGCATCGGCGACAGCATGTTCTCTAGGGGGGAATTACCATCGGACATGGAGTGAGGAATGCAAGAAGAATGAATTGTACTTACAAAGCTGAAGTAGTATCAGAACAAGCGAAAGTCGAAGAACAGCAAATACGTGGTAAGGAGTGCCTCCAACAACGGCATGCGGGGCTTCAGTAAACGAAGCAGACCAGGATTATGTTTAAAAACAACGATTAGCAAACAACGAGATATATTTGCTGCTGTGAAAAAGGGCAAATTTATTAGCGCAATATGAGGAAGCATATGAGCTTAGCAAACAGTCTGTAATCGGGAGTCTACGTTCGCTTCGGGAACCCACGCATTGGGCCAGTAACCGCCGATGCAGCTTGATATTGCAGCTGATAAGCCAAGGGGTGGATTTTGAAGCCATAAAGCCTGAATGCGAAAAGAAGAAGGTATGCAATGTTTCGAATCGTGCAAAAAGCTGATCTCAAGTAGCGCAATCTGCTTCAGTCGCGTAGCATTATTGTGGAAAGAAAAAAGGAAAACATAAGGAACCAAGCTGAAAGAAAAAACAAAGTCGCGACGGCACGAACAGCTGTTGATATCCAATTATAAACGCCGCAGTTCAGCCGCTCAGATAAGAATATCCGTCCGTTATAAATTCACAAGTGCTCACGCCTTTAACATGGCTACAAGACTAAAGCATAGACCACCAGGCAAGTAATTTAGGCATGTAAAAAAGCGTAGGGAATCAAGATGCATTGAGTATGTGACAGAAGACAGTCAGCACAAACGAAATAAAAGAATCCACCGAAGTAGGCAGTCGGTGACTAATGTATGGCAGCGACGAAGCGACGCCAAGCCTCAGTACTGCAAAGACTTGTAATTTAGTTTAAGAGTCCCTCGGAATTACACTATATATGGTTGGCGGCATCCGGTTTCGGATTTGCCTGTCACCGTGGCCAGCCACAGGACACCTGTGCCTACAGAGGGACCATGGGTGGCTTGCGCTGCACCACCCACAGCTCCAAGCACACACCCCATATCCAGTGTAAACCCGAAGGAATAAGACCGGGAGGCATGCAGATGGGAGCCACGTTTCATCAACGGAGCCGGCCCACACTCCTTCACAGGCAAACACAAGCACGCTGTATTTGGGGATCAAGCGCACACAACACGGTGGCTGGACCGTAGACCGCTCCACACTGAGCGCATGGAACCACTCTTCGAGCCTAGCACGACCACAAGGACCGTGCACCCCGTCCCCTCCAGCAGCGATCAACTGTCTTTTGGAGCCAGTATGGACGAGGTAGTGGGTAATAGACAGGTAGGCACCTAGCCAACATGCACATCAAGCGTAGCCACACCTGGGATGTCAAACAACAGCCAATCACTCATAATGCCGAGATCGAATAAAGCAAACGCACATGACGACATAAATACTCGCTAAATGAGCACATAGAAGAAATTGGTTATAAGTGAATCCATGTTAAGTACAAAATGTCCGAAAGTTATCTAAAAAATACCATGCGATAAAATTGCGAAAGTTTACTACAATTTGCGTGAGCGACGTGTGCAAGTAAGGAGAAGATTATCAAGTACGCAGAACAAATCAAATAACATGTAATGAATTTTATCCACATTAAGAAGACCTAGTATAAGTGTAAGCTGGTTCAGCCCAACTTCGGTGAAGAAACATCCTGAATGCAACATCTGCCTCAGCAAGGAGCACGACACTATATATATATATATATATATATATATATATATATATATATATGTATATATATATGTATATATATATGTATATATATATATGTATATATATATATATAGTGTAGTGCTCCTTGCTGAGGCAGATGTTGCATTCAGGATGTTTTTTCACCGAAGTTGGGCTGAACCAGCTTACACTTATACTAGGTCTTCTTAATGTGGATAAAATTCATTACATGTTATTTGATTTGTTCTGCGTACTTGATAATCTTCTCCTTACTTGCACACGTCACTCACGCAAATTGCAGTAAACTTGCGCAATTTTATCGCGTGGTATTTTTTAGATAACTTTCGGACATTTTGTACTTTTCACGGATTCACTTATAACCAATTTCTTCTATATGCTCATTTAGCGAGTATTATATATATATATGTATATATATATATATATATATATATATATATATATATATATATATATATATATATATATATATATATATATATATATATGCTGCACTGAGACTGGTGGTGGATAGATCCTGACGGATGATCAACTCACTGCTGCTACTGTTGCGCTATTGGCTCATCTCCTGGACCCCTTCTCGTGGCAACCGCTAGGTGGGAGTTGGGTTTCGCCCTTCTACCTGCTAAGATCCAAAACACCAATCCGCATGAGTCAGTGAACTAACCATGTGCTAGACCCGCTGCCTTTCGGGTGTTCATTTAATCGAAGGCTTTGGCTGAGGTCCCAAGTCGTTCTCCTGTCAGATGTGGGCGCCCTGCCAGTATCCTAGTCCATCCTCTTCGGAGGTTAGGAAGTGGTCGATGGTCCTCTTCCCGTAAAACTTAGCCATGGGAGACACACAGGTCTATGGGTTATAAGCTCACAGCTCGATTCGCGTAGAGCACGAGCGCCACGAGTTTTCTCTGACGGGGGGAGGGCACCTCCGGGTGTTCAATGGTTTGCTAATGCCCGCCTCAAGACACGCCCCCCATGGTCAAATTGGTGCAAACCCGCTAAAACCCACCTGCGTCTGGCCGTGGTCGCAGGTGCATCCTACTACGGTCACAAAACATATATGAATCGTTCCAGTACCTCAAAGGCTACGTGTGACGGCCGTCAAGCAGATCCCAATCTGTCTCTGCAATCACATTCCCGAGCTGGATCTGCTCCCCACTGCCTTGTGGGTCAGGTTATTGAGCCAAAGGCTCCGGGTGGAGTCCCTCAAGCAAACCTCCAAACAGCCCACTGCCCTGTGGGTTAGGCTATAGAGCGAAAGGATCAGGGCGGTGTCCTTCAAGCAAACCTCCGGAGCACAACGACCACCTCGCGTGCGATTGCCCACCAATGCAATCCTATGCATGCGCGCAAAGCACTCAACATCGGGTGCTGAAACGTGCGCACACTAATGGACTGGAACTCCAGCGAGCGCTCCGAGCGGCACACTGCACTGGTCGCGATCGAAATGCCGCGCTACAACATCGATATTGCGGCGCTCAGTGAAATTCGGCTCGCTGAGCAAGGTAAGTCGCATGAAGCAGGTGCTGGCTACACATTCTACTTGGTAGACAACCAGCATCACGTGATCATGGGGTCGGATTTGCAACATCCGATCGACTCCATGGCCAGCTAGTGAGTGAACCAACAGGCATCAGCGCGCAACTGATGACTGTTCGCCTACAACTCGGAAGAGGTAAGTTTGCCACTTTTGAAAGCATGTATGGTTGGACCATGTGCTATCCTAATGACACGCGTCATCAATGCTACACTCAGATATCCACCGTGATACGGTCTGTGCCGAGGAGCGACCGACTATTTCTGCTGGGTGATTTCAACGCGCGCGTTGGGCGTGATGCATCGGTGGGGAAAGATGTCATCGGTTCGCATGGCGAACGGTGACAGGATGCTCTCACTGTGTGCCACTCAAGGCCTGACGATCACGAACACTCGGTTTGCACTGAGTGCGAGTGATATAGCAACTTGGACGCACCCATGGAGTGGTCACGCTCACCTGCTCGACTATGTCATCGTACGTCAGCGTGATATGCGTGAAGTGCGCATGACACGTGTACTGCGTGGAGCTGAGTGTGGCACTGATCACAAATTGGTGCGGACCAACGTGTACATATATGTCGTAAATCTATGTATTGCACTCCCGCCGTGAATCGGCGCAAATTTAACACTCCCTCGGTGCTGTGGAGAAACGTATTGAGTTGGAGAAGGCGATGGCTGCACGCCTGTGTGATGTGGACTGCATATCCACAGTGGGCGACCTGTGGCAACACATTCGCGACCAGGTGACAGCTGCTTCCGAGGAGACCATCAGGCGCGCAAACTGTAAGCTTGCTGATTGGTTTGATGAGAACAATTCGACGATTGGAGCATTGGTGTAGGGGAAGAATGCGGCATTTGCTGCACATGTGGCCGACCCCAGTGACTTGGGGAAGAATAGTCAGTTCCGCAGAAATCGATGGCGACTGACTCACGAGCTTCGTCGCACTAGAAATGCATCGTGGACGGAGAGGGCGAGGCAGATGGAATGCTACGCCGAACGCCGCTAACACAAGGAATTCTTTGACTCCATGAAGGCGGTGTATGGACCGAGGTTGGGGCCTCTGAAAACGCTGCTCGATGCTACCTCTAACGCTGCAAGCACACAGGCTGCAGACATAATGCAGATCTGGCGAACATACTTTGCCTTTTGAACGACCCTAGAGATTGACTGGCCTAGGTTGCACGGGCTGCAACAGCAGGAGATAAGGTTGTGTATTACCGACACATCAACACTGAATGTGACGCACAGAGCACTTGCTCAGCTGCGAAAGGGCACTTGCGCCGAAGCCGACGGCATCCCATCAGAGGTGTTGACATACGGCAAGACCGCTGTAATGCATGCGCTGTAATACTAGGTGCAATGAGTGTGCATCTGAATTGAATGATGCCCTAATGCTACCGCTATACAAGAGCAAAGCGAGCAAGCAATTTGCCAAGAATTATCGTGGTATCAACTTGTTGAGTTGTGTGTGCAAGTTGATTGGCCGGATCGTGTTCAACCGCCTCGTCAGTCAGGTTGTGGAACCGAACGTGGCGGAAGAGCAATGTGGATTCCGTTCGGGCCGCAACACTATCGATATGGTGTTTGCGGCTCGTCAGTTGCAGGAGAACTGCTGAGAGCGACACGAGCCATTGCACTCGGTGTTTGTTGATTTCACTAAGGCATGTGATACAATGAACCGTGAGGCACTGTGGCTGGTGTTGGGTAAGTTTGATTGTCCGAGTAAGTTTAATTGAATGTTTACACACTGGTATGGGGGAGAGGGTGTAGATGAGCAGACAAATCTAGGATGACTTTGCTATTGCCTTTGGTGTAGAGCAAGGCTGTCTTATCCCCTGCCGGCCCGTAATTTCATGGATTTGCCGATCCTTAGCCTTAAGGATCACAAGCCTGCCTTGTAATCCAAGAGCGCGGGTTCGAGCCTGTGTAGGGACCAGAAGACCCTAATAATATCCTTAGCCCACGTGCGATTGGTGATGGTCGCGCGGCAGCGTAGAGTCGGTACTTCGTACCGGGGTAAGGCTGATGCCTTTTGCCACTGTTTAATATTTATGTCCATGCAATGATATCCAGTACTTTTGATGTCGCTTGTGATTACGGTGTCTTTGTGGAGTATCGTAATGACGGTGGATAGCTGAATCGCCGTCGTTTCGGAGTGAG